AAGTTTCGAATGTGAAACAATGTGTGAGCTAAAGTTCACACTTCAAACTTCACACAATCAAAAAAGCTGTTTTTAGTAATTAGTTAAGTTTTTTTCAAAAATTTAAATTTTCGAAAATGGGTTTTCTGTCGTTTTCCTCAAATGGCTGAAATTATACTCTTGAAACTCGGGTGCAAAAGTACGTATAACTTAGTATTTACGGTATAATAAGGAAGAAATTGGGAGCAGGAGACTATTTTTTTAGCGTGGCGGCAACCCTGCAGCCCGACTTTTGACAGCTTTGTTGACAAACATGTCAGGATGACAGCGCATTTGTGGTTAGTTTTTAAGATGTGCTCCTCAAATCTTCTAACGTATGACAATGCCGAACAAAAAATATTTTTTTTTGTGTTTTGGACTTCAAATGTAGCCGAGTTTTTAAGCCGGACTTTCGATTCGCAGTTTTAGAACCTGACATTTTTGCAAGAGAGAGTTTTTTTATTTCTAACTTTTGTTTTTGACCATTTTTTTAAAACTCACTGTGTTCAAACGTTCGTTCTTAATTAAGGCAACTGTTTTGGAAAGCAAGTTTTCGCAGAAATTATATTATTTAAATTTAGATGATTTTTTGAAAAAAGAGTAAAAATTGAGCTTTTGAGACTCGTTGTTTTGCCTTTTTCTTCGAAACACATTTCACGATTTGCCCACTCATTTTCCTCTATTTGTTTTCAAAATTTTCAGAATTCGTTTTTGAGTTTTTCACTCAAAATGTAACAATCAAGATTTGGCAACAGCATTTTTTTTGAAAAAATCTCAAATTTTTGAAAATCGGTTTTTCCCCGTTTTCTTCTCTTAAATTTTTTGCGAACGGTTTTAATGTGTAAAATTCGTTTTTAAATGAAACTTAATTTTTTTTTCAAAATGCCTAAATTTGAAAACCGAATTTTTTGGAAAAAATCAGGTTTTTTCGAAAAACAATAATTTTTGAAAAAAAATACAATCATACTTTTCAAATCGTTTTTTCGCAATTTTTCAAAGTTGAAATCTCCAAAAATATTTCATCTTTGCCTATGGCTAAAACAACCGAAAAATTTAACCGAGTTAAGTTCAATTTTGAATTTCTGGGAGTAAATTTCGATTTTGGGAACTTTTACTCGATCAATTTCAGTGTTGAGTTTGAAGAAAATCACAAAATGTTTTTTTTTTTAGTTTTGAAAAGTGTAATTTTCGGTTTTTAAGCAAAAATTCGGCTTTTTTAGGGTTTGAGCGAAAATCTGATTCGAAAAAAATTGCATTCATGCATTTTAAGTCAAACGCTCGAAAACATAATTTTCTATAAATATGATAACATTAAATAAAAATTTATTAGAGGATCGAAAAAATGAAATGAATGAAAAATTCAAAGCTTTTGGGAAAAATTACTTGTACTTTTGCAAATCGGTTCCTTTTTAATTTTTTCAAAACGCCTAAATTTGAAAGCCGAATTTTTTGGAAAAAATCAGTTTTTTCGAAAAATAATAGTTTTTGAAAAAAAATTGAAATTATGCTTTTCAAAGCGTTTTTCGCAATTTTTCAAAATCGAAATTTCTAAAAATATTTCATCTTTGCCCATGGCTAAAACAAACGAAAAATTTAACCCAGTTAAGTTCAATTTTGGATTTTTTGGAGTAAATTTCGATTTTAGGAATTTTTACTCTATTAATTTCAGTGTTGAGTTTGAAGAAAATCACTTAATGCCATTTGTTAGTTTTGAAATCTGGAATTTTCGGTTTTTAAGAAAAAAATCGACCTTTTTAAAGTTTGAGACGAAAATCTGATTTCTGAAAGCTTGCAAAAAAACATTGTAAAATGTTTTGTTTTGCATTTTTTCGAAAATTTTCGGTTTTGAACAATGGAATCGAATGTCGAGTTCGAAGAAAATTCCATTCATGCATTTTAAGTCAAACACTCGAAAACAAACTTTTACTATAAATATGATAACATTAAATAAAAATTGATTGGAGAAGAAAAAAAATTAAATGAATGAAAAATTCAGAGCTTGTGGGAAAAATTACTTGTACTTTTGCAAATCGGTTCCTTTTCAATTTTTTACAAAACGCCTTAATTTGAAAACCGATTTTTTTTGAAACAGTCAGTTTCTTTAAAAAAAAAAAGTTTTTCAAAAAAAATTAAAATTATACTTTTCAAAGCGTTTTTTCGCAATTTCTCAAAATTGCAATCTCCAAAAATATTTCATCTTGGCTCATGGCTAAAACAAACAAACAATTTAACCTACTTAAGTTCAATTTTGAATTTCTGGGAGGAAATTTCGATTTTGGGAATTTTTTACTCGATCAATTTCAGTGTTGAGTTTGAAGAAATTCACAAAATGTTTTTTTTTTAGTTTTGAAAAGTGGAATTTTCGGTTTTTAAGCAAAAATTGGGCTTTTTTAGGGTCTGAGCGATAATCTGATTTTTAAAACTTGCAAAACAAACCCTGTAAAAAGTTATGTTTAGCATTTTTTAAAAAAATTTTGGTTAGGAACCATTTAATCTAATGTCGAGATTGAAAAATATTGCATTCCTGCTTTTTCAGTCAAAGGCTCGAAAACAAACTTTTACTATAAATATGATAACATTAAATAAAAATTGATTAGAGAAGAAAAAAAATGAAATTAATGAAAAATTCAGAGCTTTTGGGAAAAATTACTTGTACTTTTGCAAATTGGTTCCTTTTTAATTTTTTCAAAGCGCCTAAATTGGAAAGCCGATTTTTTTTTTAAAAAGCAGTTTTTTTCGAAAAATAAATAGTTTTTGAAGAAAAATTAAAATTATACTTTTCAATGCGTTTCTCCGCAATTTTTCAAAAATCGAAATCTCCAAAAATATTTCATTTTTGCCCATGGCTAAAACAAACGAAAAATTTAACCGAGTTAAGTTCAATTTTGAATTTTTGGGAGTAAATTTCGATTTTTGGAATTTTTACTCTATCAATTTCAGTGTTGAGTTTGAAGAAAATTACTAAATGCTTTTTTTTAGTTTTGAAATCTGGAATTTTCGGTTTTTAAGAAAAAAATCGGCCTTTTTAAAGTTTGAGCGGAAATCTGATTTCTGAAAGCTTGCAAACAAACACTGTAAAAAGTTTTGCATTTTTTCGAAAATTTTCGGTTTCGAACAATGGAATCGAATGTCGATTTCGAAGAAAATTCCATTCATGCATTTTAAGTCAAACACTCGGAAACAAACTTTTACTATAAATATGATAACATTGATTGGAGAAGAAAAAAAATTAAATGAATGAAAAATTCAGAGCTTGTGGGAAAAATTACTTGTACTTTTGCAAATCGGTTCCTTTTTAATTTTTTTCAAAACGCTTTAATTTGAAAACCGATTTTTTTTGAAACAGTCAGTTTCTTTCAAAAAATAACAGATTTTCAAAAAAAATTAAAATTATACTTTTCAAAGCGTTTTTTCGCAATTTCTCAAAATTGCAATCTCCAAAAATATCTCATCTTGGCTCATGGCTAAAACAAACAAACAATTTAACCGACTTAAGATCAATTTTGAATTTCTGGGAGTAAATTTCGAGTTTGGGAATTTTTACTCGATCAATTTCAGTGTTGAGTTTGAAGAAATTCACAAAATGTTTTTTTTTTTAGTTTTGAAAAGTGGAATTTTCCGTTTTTAAGCAAAAATTGGGCTTTTTTGGGGTCTGAGCAAAAATCTG